TAAAAATTGCAAAGATTGGCAACTTTATATCGCGTTAGAGTGTCGATTGCGAGCGAGGAATGATTCTAGGAATGTGCTCGAAGGTTTGGAATACATAGAGTTATGGGGCGAGGTTGCGCGTTATGCCTGCGAAGTGACTGATCGAGGTAGAGTTTAGAAAAAGAGAAAACGCGTAAGATTCGAGAAGCGTGTAAAGAATGCTTTCATCTTTCGAACCTTCTCCCACAAACAGGTGGGATTTAAATAAAAATAATTCCTATAATATCGTTTCAGGCATTCCAATTTGTCATTTGTACATTTCACTCGTCAGAATCACGTACTAGCGTAAAATTAACAATCGACCAATTAAAAGAAATTACATGGTGATCGTAAAATGTGACAATTTGAAAAGCTCAACGGAGATGTAAATACAGTGGAAGCTGACAACTTGCAGCATGTGATAGGTACACGCAGAGGGCATCGCGCGATGGAATGATCATCGAGCTGTCGAACAATATCGAATATTAATATTTCCTGCGAAACTTCATATCCCTACGCGGAGAAGGCGAATTCAACGGTCGCTTTCAGGCTATAAAGCTTTGGGTCGGAAGTTCTGTTATTGACTGATAGCCTGTCATCCCGATAACTGCGTCCCGTGTAAATAATTTATCGCGACGGGAACCAAAATGGAGGAAACGAAGCGGCATCAGCATTGATACTGCGCGGCGCCGCACGATTTTCATCCCCGGGAATTGACGTTTCGTCAATAAACTTCCTTTACCGCCACTTGGACCAACCTCCTGTGATTCTCTTCTACCGTTTCTCTCTCTTTTCCCCTTATCTATCTATTCACCTGTCCGTCTCCTTCTCGCTCGTTCGTTGATTCAGATTTTGCAGGCTCGTAAAGCGGCCGTGCACGAAGCATCGCTCGTACGTATCCGTTTACCTTGATCCTTTTAATTATCGAACTTGTCCCTGTGAAAAGCGGATGCCGTTCTCCCAGGCAGATGTATCGTACAATTCAGTTACGCTTCCTCTGCGGAAACACTTACGATAATGCACGCACTCTTTATCAACGCGATATAACTCGTCCGCGGTAGATATATGCACCTTCCATGTACCTTTGTGAGCGAGACGATCCGAGACTACTAGTCGAACGTAAAGGAAATGCGAACAGAGAAGGAAGACGCGAGTAACATCGTTTGCGATGTAGGTATTCTCTTGGCTCCTTTGTTTATTCGCTTGAAATTCTCGTTTTAAACGAACGGCTTTTCGTTCCGGGCTTACTATTTGATCATTAGGAGAGCGAGAGATAGAACGATGCGAAATATGGTTCATTTTGCGGTTCATCGTTGAGCGGCAAACATTTTTCAGCAATGTTCTCTTGTTTCGAAGTACACAGAAAGGGCAGCTTCGAGAAGAACGTAATTAAAAGTTTACCGTTGCCACCTGGCTGTACCGGTTTCCTTCAAAGAACGATATAAAATTGTATGGAGGAAGAGATGGGGAGGTTTCATAAAGAATATTGATCCAGAAAGAAAATGACTTTGGGAACGTTTGTCGGAATACGAGTAAATTTACTCTCGTAATATGTAACTCGAGGAGAAGAGGGCTTCCGCGAGATGAACGTAATCAGTGAAAACATGAATAACTTCTATTTAGTCGAGAACTTTTTAACATAAATATGTTACAACGAGAGATGTTACTTCTATTCAGTAGGTAAGTGATTTTTAAAGTACGTAGGGGGTAAAATAGGCGAGCATATTTTGTACAGAAATTTGTTGAAAATTTGTTAGAGAAATTGATCTCAAAAAATAATCCTGATATATTTGACAAAGTATTGAGATAAATTAACGTTTTTATAACTCTGCATTCATTAACTTCTTTATAAGAATTAGAACTTACTATTTTAATTCTGGACTACTCCACTAATCAAAGTAGTTAATTTCAGATTCCTGTGATTATTAAAAACTTGTTGCAGTTCTTGGTAAAGTTAATGTCGATTTTTATTGAAATAGAAACGTAATTATACATGGTATCCTTCGCAATTACCTTCCTTAATTGTAACTATATAAAATATACGATGTAAATAATTTATGAGATATCATTGCACTAATATACTGCAAAAGGAATTTTTAAAGTTTCTTAGAAATGGAGTTTTTGAGGTCATTGAAACGTTTTTCCATACAAGCGTATATTTTGATGTCGAAATACGTTTAATTTTTATTTTTTGAGTCAGTGGTTACTTCGATGTATGTAATATCATTAGAAATATCTATACATATTTTGATATCAGCTACACGATACAGCAGAGAAAAATATATACTGATATAGAAAGAGATATCAGTAACTCTAAAAACTTTAAAAAAATGAGTTTAGTGCAAAATCTTTTTTGCGGTACATTAGTGCTTTGGTATCATATAATTTGGTATTATATAAATATACCATATATCATTACGATTGAAGAAGATATTTAGATAGTTATCTTTATGTGGAATACTCTGTACTTGCATAATTGCCTTCATCATAATACTTCGATTGTTATATGTGTATATTTTTATGTTATTATGCATAAATATGTTATTTTATATGTATAATATTTATATTTGCATTATGGTTCGGTGATTCCGTATATACAAGGTGTCCTTTCAACGATAGTACAACGGGAAATGGGGTGATTCTATATGTAGAAGTAATTGAGAAAAGAAATCAAATTTTCTGATTCGAAGCTTCGTTTTCGAGAAAATGTATAATAATATGACAATCTATTTCAGCTATAATTACACGTATACCCGTGTTAATATGCATACAGTTTTACATTTGTCTTTGCAGCTATAATTCCGTACTACATTTATATCTATTTAACCTGACTTAATTGGAGAAGATTCGTATTCCATCCGCAAGGAGGAATTTTCAGATAATTATTATTTCAGACTTTATTATCATTTACTATTTAATCAGTAAATACTATTTAATTAGTAAATAATACTCCTCGAGCAACTAAAATTCTTCACCTTCTGAAAACCGTTAAATGATATAAAATGGTAAACCGAATATTTGACACGGATAGCGTTACCAGTAAGCACATAATTTGGAATATCCTGTCTCACGGCTATCAAACACAGCCATAGACTGCAATGGGATATCACAATGGAACTTCAATCACAGTCGATTTACCTCAAATTAAGAGTCTTTTTAGCGCTCGTCATGCGCATTCGCCTATCTGCTCACACGGAAAGCCATTCTTTTCCATTCTACTATCTTCTAGAAAGTTAGTTTAGAGTTAAAGCAACCAATCATCAGTTGCCGTCGTTCATCAAGATTTATTAGAACCAATTCGGTGCCTGCTTTGGCTGTTCATAAATTAAAAGTCGAAGTAGTACTCATCGATACTTATTAAGATCTGTCTAATATAGTCTATCACGTGTTACTCTCAACGCTATCATTATAACGATATTATTATTATCCAACAGTTTTTCTTGAAAGTACGTTCTTTAATTCATATATATATATATGTGTGTGTGTGTGTGTGTGTGTGTGTGTGTGTGTGTGTGTGTGTGTGTGTGTGTGTGTGTGTGTGTGTGTGTGTGCGCGCGCGCGCGTGTGTGTGTGTACAGTCATGTTCTGGTAATGGATTCCCAGGCAAAAAGAACTCTAATTACACATGATACTTACTAAGATTTATTCATTATAACCCATTATATAGGTATTAGTTTGGTACTGTCATTAAGACGATATTATTATTTTCGATTATTTCCTTTTATTTATCTAGAAATTTTTTGGGTTTAGTGTTTCGAGACGAAGAAGGCTATAATTCTACAGATAATTTATCGCCTTTTCTCACTGACCAGATTAATACGGACTCTTCCGTATGCTTCTAACACGTGTTAGCGATACTATTCTAGACCTCTGAGCTGTAAATTATTTTTATATTTTAAAGTGGGACGAGAAACATCCTTTCTCTCATATCCAGCTACTAAAAGGACACTACACTATTTACTCTCCTCTGTCCTGAATAGTTAAACTGCTAAATAGTTAAATTGCTTTTAGTTTCAATTCACTCATAGTTATCTTTACTTTACGAACATCCCGTGTTACCAAAATAATCGTCTATTCTTAATTTATTTGCCATGCGGTACTTCTGAAATGGTCACGGAATCGTTGAGATAAATCCGTGCCACTTATTTCTGAGCAATGTCATCTATTATTACGAAATATTTTATAAGACGCGTTTCACCAGACCAGGATAATCGTGTAAGAGATCAAAGCAAACTTCCACGACTTCGAATTTTCCAACGTCGTAATAAAATTTTCTAAAAGACAAGTTACTCTGGGATAAAAATCATTCCACGAGATAATGCCATTTCTCGCAGACATTTTATACGTTGCTGCATATATCTCTCGAAGCAATTAACAATTTCCACGTGATTTAAATACGATTACCAACAAACTACGCGAGCACTTTTCAAATTAAAGTAAAATATGAAATTCCATCTCCTCGCAATAAATGCAACAATCTCGCGCGTTCATGTTCGAGAGAAATATCGTAGGATTAGAAAAAATATAAGAGAATTATAAAGAAGGGTGAAGAAATTATCGCAGAGTTGTTCCCAAAAAAGGTCTCTCGAGAGTGCCACGGTACTTGGGCATAAAGAATGAAAGTGGCAGAAAAAAACGCGAGTTTAATACTCTCGAGAGAATTAGCGAGTGAAGTCCGTGTTCCGTGAAGTATGCAAAACTTTTGGAAAAGCAGCGGCAACAGCCCGAAGGAAGCATCGACGAAGGATGGAATTTGATACGCAATCTCTCGCCCGGCTATACAATCTGGGTCGGTAGTCGGAATAAACAAAAGTTTACGAAGCTGCCGACTTTAATAACATTACGTAAGTTAAAGGACTGCCGGATATTGTTCCGACGAAAAATAATAAGAGCTGGGAAGCCAGAACGATAGAGCACGATAATACGGTGTTACGTGGGCGAACTTAATATCGGGGTGAATCGTAGAGGAAATCGAGTCTTACCGTTTCCTTCTTGCTTCTGGCCGTGTCGAGGGTCGTCTGGAACCAGGACCATTGGTTGAAAGGGTCCTGCGTGTTGTCGATCATGCTCCTTCCGGAGCGATGCAGCGTACGATTGTCGTCCGTCTTTAGCCACAAGTTCGTGTTGAGGAAAATGATTCGATACTTCTCCGAGCGTTGCTCTATCGTGTAATATCCGGCTGTAACAAGTGCACCGAATCGTCGGATGAGTTGGAGCCGGCAGTTTATGCGGAATACGCCCGCTTTTTTCCTTTCCGCGATCTCCTTTCGCAATTCACTCGGATCGCCGCTGTTATTGGACTTTTATTGAAACGACGGAAGCAGCAAGTGGATGGTATAGGGAAGAATTGTTCAAGGAAGAAATTTTTGTTTGCTCCAGCAGCGAGCTTGAATTTTATTCGTTCGCGTGTTCGTAAAAATTCGAGTGGGTATACGGCTCGCGGATATGGTGGCTGATTGAAGCCAAAGTGGAATGCTCTGTGTTGGGCGAGAAGTATCGAAGAGGTATTGATTTTCAGTGTAAGTAATGAATTTGAATAGGTTTGTACGGGTTATTAGAGGGATTGATCGGTGAATGAGATCGTTGCCAGGGTAAAAGTGTATTGTACCGTTGGACTGAAGTTGTTGTTGATCGTGTGCTGTGTAAATTAGCTTTTTTGTTCGGCTCTGAATAGTAAAAACAGAAAGGAGCAGCGGAAGGTATAAATATAACGAGCATTAATATTTGGTAGAGAGAGAAATAGCGAGGTAAGGGTACTAAAACGAAATAGATGCAGGTTTACTGACAAGAGTTAACAAACAAGCACTCGCTTAATAGATTTAAATACAAATACGTTCAAAATTACTTTATGTGCTGAGATATATATAAATTTCAGATATATAGTAGATGTAGCGTGAATTTTCTAAATCAATATTTGCAGCGGTAATAATTGGAACATGGCATCAAATAGGTTTGGAACTTCGGGAAATTTTGAAAGACTATAATATAACCATTCGCTTTGAAAATAAAATCTAGTCATTTCGAATGAATAATGGCTGCAGGTATTGAACAATCAAAGCGAAATATTTTGATCTTATTAGAAATCAGAATCATTGGAAAAAATAATTTGAAGTACCGGTTGAGCATCACGTACAATAGTTATCGAATTCAGAAATTCTTCGACAACTTATTAAAATATAACGAAAACCTTGAAAACCTTCGTTATAGAGATTTGATTTCTTCGATTTGATATTAATTATGACTCTCGTAAAATATATTACCTTGAAGAAAAGATACATTCCCGATAGGAAGTATATTTCTCAACTCTTGTCAGTAATTATGCTTTCTCGCGTACGAAGTATTCTAACCTCTAAAATGGAAACAAAAAGGAAAAAACAAGTAATCTTCGAAATTCGTGATAAACTTAAAATGCACGTATGATTTCGTTCGCATTTCTTTCCTTTTTGAACTACTTCAAACGCAAACAGAGAAACGAAGGTAACTAAAACGGAGAAGTAGTGTTCTTCTATCGAAATTACTAAAATAACCGATCCATCGGAGACGTACGCTTCCTCGAAAGATCCAGTCTTAAGAGTGCGTACCCTGCTTTCGATTTAATCCGATTTCCGAATGGTTCGCCATCGTAAAACGCTTGGCATCGGGAAATATCTTTCGGCGGGATGTAAAAGCCGGAGAGGAGCAGTAAAGAGAAGGAGAAGAGAGCGAAAACACGAAAACACTTGGACGTACGTACCGCTTTTAAAGGTATCCAAAGCCTCCTGCGGCAGCCATTGCTTCCAGAGCTCGGCGTGCTGCGAGAAGCTCACCCCAATGTCGTCGTGTCCGAGCGCCGGAAACACAAATTGTTCCTTAAACGTGCGAGACAACAGTTCGGTCAAATTCCGCAAACACTGCAGACGCAACTCGGCGCTCATGTTAGTAAAGCGCGTCAGCGCGTCACTGCAAGTAGTTACAGGCTCGTTAGTGTGTGCTGGTTACATACGGCTGGGCAGGACCCGCGAGAATTACTACGATTCCGCTGGTAAACACGAAGAAACGACACTTCGCGAAACGTGTACGAATGCACGCGCCACGCTGTAATCGATCATCTTTACATTTCGAACTGCATGCGGTTAAAAAACAAGCGAAATCGTGAGATAAAATTCTTTCTACATATATCTGTATATTTCATTCCTTATAATTCATTCCTGTTAATTTTTGTCTCCTTTTCACTTTTCGCTTCCATTTTGAGAAACATATGGAAGTGTTTTCTTTATGTCATTTGATTATTTTCAAAGGATTTATTTTCTAATTGACTCTTCTACTTTCTACTTCTTACTTTCGTATTAAAACTACCAACAATTTATTTACACCTAACCAAACCCTAAGTTGAAGTATAAAAGTGCGGATAGTAATATATAAATAAAATAAGTTTGAAGTAATAAGAAAAGAAATTAATATTTAAGTTTCAAGAGAAAACGTGAAATAAAAGAAACTGACAGTCGTGCAATTTTGTGAATATAATATATTTTGTGAAATATTTTGAAAATAGTAACAGATATCTCTTTCTTGTTCATTGCATTTCATATAAATTGCAGGTTTCACTATTCCAATCTTTCTACAAACATATTTCTTGCAATTGAAACACATTTTGGTGACTCCATTATAATATATATGTGTATATCTTTGTATATTAGTAGTAGATGGAACTCAATTTATATATATAGCATAGTATAGTATAGTACAGTATATATAAAAATTAACTATGTGTATGTTATAAGAAAAATTGTGAAGTCAGCAGACAGAATTAATAATGTTAAATACAGAATTTTAAATTAACAGTTAAGAAACGACTATTTGATTGGCTATGACAAGTGTAATACTAAAAGATTAATGTAAATTCTGATTATGAGTGTGAAAAGGATGTATAGAGACATAGCGTGTATTTTGTTGTATTCTAAATTGTAGCAATTTTTATGACTAATATTTCGAATCGTTTAACGTTTTAACATTTTTTAACAAAATTTGAGGAAAGCTTCAATACGTAACGAACAAAAGAATTTTGTTACTTTTCTTTAAATATTTTTAAAATATAAATAGAGTTACATGTGTCACAGCTTTGAAGTTTTAAACTATCGATTGGACATTTTTTCCTCGAGGAAAAGCTCACACACATACTCATTCGTTCCTTCTTGGAATATTCGCTAATGGACGGAAAGGAAATACGACGTGATTTTTTATTTTCAATTTTTCATTTTGCAGAAGGAATTTCGTGGCATCAGTTATTCGAAACACTGTTTAAAGCTGCATAAGTACATCTACTGTCCTTGGCAACGAAATACTCATAACCTCCCTTGTCATTGGTAACAAGCTGCCAATATTATTTTGCCCAATATTAATTTGTCCAAAGCTGCCCAATATTAATTGGTAACAAGCTGCTCAATCTCATAATTTCAATTTCTTTTGTCTGTGTTTCTTGGCTTAAGTATTATTCAAAAGCATTAAAGGGTACTAAGTATTAAAGACTAGTAGTGGTAACTTATTTCTGTCCTGAACCCAAGATAATGTATACAACAAATTCTTATAATAGAAAATGTCAAACTGAATAAAATGTTTATTAAATTATATTAGAAGCTGATATCAATTAAAAATACAGAAGATTAATCAATGTGTTACTCTTCTTCGTAATTTGTTTAGTAACTTTAACGTTTTGTAAATTTGAATTTGAATTTGCGACTTTCCAATTTACTCCATATAATATTATTTAATATATTCAGTATAATGTACTTTTAGTCGATAAAATTTATTTATTTAATTTATGTAAAAGGTGACTATTTACTACTATTTACTATTATTTATATTTATATACTTCAGTATATCTATGTATATGTACATATACTAACATATTTTATTTCATATACCTGTATGCATGAGCAATTGTACAAAAAGTATAATATATAATACATATTTATATTTATATGTAGCGTTCAATCCATTGAATTTCTCGAATTGTCAAGAACGCATCATGCGCAAACTTAATATTGCGCGATTAGTTTAGATTTTTACGGATCGCGAGTGTAATTAAAGGTGTATTATTTATTTTTTACTTGTTTGTGGTTTTTTATTGTAACTAAACTATACAATAATTAAATATGAAATGTTAGTTGAGTATCGTCTCGAAGACGCCTTTACAATATTTATGATGTTTCGGTGACGAGTGTCGAATACGTACTGATTTTTGCTTCCTGTAATGTCTATTCGTGTTCTGTTCCATGTTTTCTCGAGTTTGTTTTGATTGGTATAGATTAGATGTTAATGTGGAAAACATAGAGCTTTTTGATTGGACGTGGGTGTATCGGATGGACTTTTGGTTGAGAAGTGGGAAAATGTGAAGGTACCTTTCGGTGGTCAATGACGTGAATTATAAGTAGGTGTCCGTGGTCCATGTGGTGGTGGATAGGTGCACGTGGGTCTAATCTGTCGGTTCTGGTAGTTGCAAATTTTTTGCACTTTTGTATTTAGATATATGACTTCTAAGCTTCGGAGTTGCAGTCGTAGTACAAAATAATAAAGCGTTGTAGTAAAATTAAATAGTAAAGTAAGCTCTACATCCTAGCGATGTCTTCCCCTGCGTTTTGTCTTTTGTCCCCTTTTTGTCTTTTGTCTCCTAAACAGGCCATTTCTAATCCTTCGCCCGTTCAATATAGATCTATACAGTTTTTCCACCGTTTCCACTGACTACTATTTCTTTGCGCTATAACTCCTTTAATATAAAGTCCTTGAAATTATCGAAAATTAAAATTAAAGTTATGCTATAAACACTGCCCCTGGGCTGGAACATAATACAATATTAACTTTGCTACCTAATAAATAAATAAACATATTTTACTTAATTATAGAGTATATAAAAATAAACTATTAGTAACATATTACACGATTAATATACAATAAAGTATTGAAATTAAAAACAAGCACCTTCACAAATAATATTTAAATAAGAAACTTTATTTAGCCGTGTTAGCACTAATCATTTTATTCGGTCCTCAGACAGCACGAAAATGAAATGGTTTAAAATTAGAGAATTGATATCTATTCAATCATCGTCACAAATTAATAGTTAATATTTAATCTAGCTCTATTGCTGTCACAATTTTCACTTTACTCTCGCCGTTTATGTAATCATATCAGGAATCTTCATTAATCATGTGAGGATTGGAAATAAATAAAGAGCCTTTAAGCAAAGAAGAGTCAGAAAGACGTTCATTATACATTCATTCTCGGCCTCATATTTTTAAAAATTCACTCTATAATTTATCTCGAGTACAAATCATTATACAAGCGAATGGATATTGACTTTTAAAAATAGAAAAGGTCAGAAGCGAAGAATTTGGCAACCTTCGAAAATTATTGAAGAAATCAATTCTGAAATATCGTTGAGTAACATTTACATATTTAAAACGCTGAATCGATAAAAAAAAGTACTTTAATGATATAAATTAGTTTTTGCTGAATTTAAGCTTTACGTGAAAAAATTGTATTCCAAACTTTCGATTTATCTTTATACGAGGCATCTCATCTTGTTTGTTCGATGAACCTCATCTTACGAACCTCAGCTTTGCGCGTAAGTGTATGCATACAGAGCGGATACCTAAAACCGATTTTCTTGAAAATTAAGTTTTAGATGAACAGACATTATTCTACGTTTTTTATTTATTTCTATACGAAGAGTTACGTTTTAGTTGCTTGTATGGTACATTCAGGTATATTCTATATATTAACATACTATACACCGACTAGATTTGAGGTAATAAAATTATTAATTAAGCATAAATATTTAAAACAACATATACTAAAAATTTTGTATGTGTTTACATAATACTATGTAGTACCTATATATTATATTTCTGGAAAATGTAATGTATCTTTATTGATTGTCAAAATGAATGCTAACAAAGAAAAAAGGAAATGATCACAAGTGCCTAAAGACGTTGAAAATATATTTACTTATTGGGATACTGGATCAGTGTAGAATTTCAATGTCCGTACATTAAAGACGGACAAATTTACAATTCATTGGTTAAAGTATGTACACTTATACAGAAAAGTATTTGAACGATTTCATTTGTTACTTTCAACTACTGAAATGTACATACATATGTATAAGTTATACTGAAATGTTTTGAACGATAAGATACACGAAATAAGAAGGAAATTCCAAGCTTATATTGGTAAAATAAAAAAATAACTTAACAGTGTAGAGGTAGCCTTCCTATAACACGATAGATAGGTTCCCAGAAAATTCCGTGTTGTGTGAAACCGCGTTGTATGAGACCTAGACGCAGTACAAAAAGGGGGGTTACATTCCGAAAACTTACTAAAAATAAATTTTTTTTAAAGTCTACATAACAACTTAATTTTTATTAAAAATATAAATGTATGTACATCACAAAACAAAAAAGACAAAAATATTATTTTAATTTAATGCAACTTTAATTTAATAAATTTCTTCGTCGTCACTGGTCATGTAGAAGTACAGTGCTGTACAAAGGTTTTTGCAATTTTTTTATTGTGTTAGAGCGAAACCGTGTTATAGAATGCCGTGTTATAGAAGGGTTCCCGCAATTTATGAATCGTGTTATAGTGATACCGTGTTATAGGGTGCCGTGTTGTAGGAGGGCTACCTGTATATGATATTTACGGTATATTTATATTTAATAGTACGAATCATTCTGACGCTTGTGTATTCAATGAAAAATGGTCTTGAAGCTCTTATAAGTAAGAAAATATGAGTCAACATTATTTTGGAACTTATTTTTTAACTTATTTTTATTCTGAAACTATCATTTTTTGAAACTTATTTCAAATTTAATACGCATATAACCGTTGTTAAAACGGGTATATGTGAATGTCTAGGTATTCTCGTGCCTGAGTGTACATATGCTTAGTGGTTTGCGGTTACA